TCCATAAATGCCATAAAATCAAAATTAAGAAGCATGTTAAGCACATAGAACAACACAACATTACACAGAACAACTCAAGCACCATGTGCTCTGTAATTGTGCTAAAACGCCCATTCAGGCTTTATCCCAGTGTAATTGCTCCCTGATACTATTGATAAAATAAAATCAATCCAATGAATGCAATCGTCATCACACAGATATCATATTCAAAAGGTCCAAAATAATGATACACAATGCATTTCAGAAACAGCCGAGAGGACAAAACAATGTTTTGCCATCCCTATTGATAAAAGAATAAATTAAACAAGGCAGAGATTTTCACTGAACAATACAAGCATCAAAGTAAAAAAAAAAATTAAAGGACAACTATTTTGCAATGATGGTAGGAATTAAGCAACACAAACCTTTGCAAGCAAGGTTTTGCCGGTGCCAGGCTCTCCATAGAGGATAACACCTTTAGGCGGTTTAATACCAATGTCTTCATATAACTCGGGGTGTGTCAGGGGAAGTTCAACAGCTTCCTTGATTTCCTGTATCTGAGCATCCAATCCACCAATATCGGCATAAGATTCCAATGGAGCCTTCTCAACCTTCATGACAGACACCATTGGGTCGACTTCATCTTGAAGAAGGCCAACTACAGAAAGAACCTGGAACCACATCTTCCCACTGTGAGAATCTTAAGGTATCCTCCGGTAGTCAGTTCTTCTAATTATACAAGTAAAAGAGACTATACAACCATGTAAAGCATAAAAAGCCCTTAAAGTTTTAATCTGATCTTCTACATTCACTAACACACCAAAGTGTTCTCTAATAATATTCAGATTTTCATGAAAACATAAGCTTTCTTTAAAAATTAGATGTTCGTTGAACCCAATATTTTAGACCAATTAATTTCCAACAGTATATCCCAAAAGTCAAAAGCATATGCATCCATGCCTGAACTCTATAAGAAACCATACCCTCACCACCTGCTATTAAGCACATCAAAACTTACTCATGGGTAAATAAGCTAGTATTTAATTAGCAGAAGCCCACATTGTGCTAATTCACCATGTATTACAGGACAGGCTAAAACCAACTTATACTCTGCAAATTTTTCCCACTAAGCGCAACGAACAACAGGGAAAGGGGTAACACAACTGTCTTTAACTGCAAAAATAATTACTAGGAGTATACATTGAGAGGGCGTTCCTATCTATCTAGTTCAACCCCACAATAACCTTGACTCTCCATGTCCACAAGGAAAATCCCTCACTATAATTGTCTGTTTGACCAATTCGATAGTTCAGAAGTTGGAAAATGAAAATCCTCCCCTTATGTAGCTATGATATATGCTACAACTATTCACTGTGGGAAAAAACAAAAAAATTCTTGATTTACAAACTATCCTGAAATCACAAAGCAAAAGAGAACATGCAACACCACTACTAAATTGGCTTCTACCAAAAAAAAATGCTAGAACTTACCATTGAAAATGCAAAAGGTAAGTAACGTCCGACATAACATTCTTCACAGGGACCCAACCAGTTCAGGACCCCGAGAATCTTACATCTATTTTTATCCATTCCAACCTAAAATCCCACGAAGCTTGAGCTCCCCAGTCACAATTTTTATATAATTAGTCCATATTCTATCTCAAAGCTTCAGACATTTACCTAATTCAGAAGGGACCCAAAACCCTAGCCAATCCATCCAGGCACATTTACAGTGCCTGTAATAAAACCACAGATACCAGAGATGCAACCCTAATTTCCCCACCTCAACAAACCAAACCCTAATTACACGTTTCAGAGAAATTAAATAAAAAAGTACACTTAAAAGGAAGCAGAAATAGACCTTGTTGTGCATCAGAATAGCGCATCCAGGCTCGAGCTGATCCTTATCCACAAACGACAAAATCCCGACATAATACTCCGGTCCAACCGATGACGAAACAATAGCATGATTCTCGTCAATAAGCTCCTCTAGGTTTCCGACGCTCATAGGAGAGCCGCGGAGATCATCGACCTTGGATCTATCCTCTTCAGTCTTCTCCTCTTGAGGCTTCAAGCGTTCCTGATTACTGACAAACTCTTCTTCCATCAAAAGATAGTCTTTGATCCGCTCGAGCTTGAGCAATCGGAGCTTGCACTTAGTCAGAGGGGTGACGGTAGGGAGACGAGCAGCGGCTTCGGGGCCTTTCTGCTTGCGCTGTTTGCGGCCAACGCGAGCGGGTGGCGCGCGCCGGCTCGAACTTTTTCTCCTTCTTATCGCCGTCGTTTTTTCTGTCCCCTGGGAGTTGCCGGTTCAAACCGCCGGGTGTGCCCTGTCCCATGGTTTAGTTGATATACTTCGAACGGAGGAGGCTGAAATTGCTAGCGTTGCTATGTCTGAGAAGTGGAGAGAAGAGCAAGCGTGAATTGTATTATTTTGTTCTGTTTGTGGTGGCTTTGTGCTCAAGAAAAGGTTGCGAAACAGTGGAAGTCGAAACCCGAACCCGAACCGGAATCTGTTGTATGTGTGCCGGGAGCCGGTGGAGATTATAATTTGGGTTGGGTGCACGTGATTGTCACGTGTGCACTCACCATTGATTTTCAAAGAAGATGTTTTATCCAACAAATAAACCAATTCGATTTTGTCCTTTCTTTTAAAGATAAATCTTTATGTTACATGTATAAAATTTGAATTTGAAATCCAAAATTTACTCGTGTATCATTCGTTCAATCGTAATAGTTTATACATCAACAGTGTGTAATTTGAGCCAACTTGAATATAAAGTTTACGCTACTCATCAAATTTCTTCAATATCTCCTAGAAACAAACAATCTCCCAAAAAAATCAGTGGTCATACCTTCTCGTACCTAATTAGCTAAAAAGAATTATAATTAATTGTGCCACCTAAAGAGATAAATAAGCTAAACAGCATTATTTCCATCCTATTTTTTTTTTTTTTTAAAGATGGTTCTTACTATTTGGTGCGTGCACAACAAGTATACACACACACACAGATCCACTACTAAAGGGTGTAAAGCTTTATAAATACTACTCTTGAATTGTAATAAAATTTAACAGGAGAAATTTACTCTTTCACAAAAACATCCAACCCACTTCTTACTTGGTACTCTTAGAATACCAAATTATCAAAGTCATAAGAGCTAAGTCATAGAAACAATTGGAGTTTTTTAAGGGAAATTCTTACAATGATGAGAGAGAGAGAGGCTCGAAAATTGAACCAAAAACTCTTTCCCTAGGTTATCTTTGAGGGGTGTTGGGGGTTGGGTAGATAAGTCTCCTGAGTCGTCGTCAAAAGTTGCCGGCTTTTGACGATTGATCTGGGGCTTTAGGTTTGTTTAACTTAGCTCTTGAGGTTTCTCAAGAAGGTGAAAGAAAAAAAAAGGTTATCTTTGAGGCGGAGTAAAGTGAAGCTCCCTACCAGCTCTATCAAGTGATCTACCTAGGAAGTATGTTGCTATCACCCGCGCTAAACTAGGCCTGCAAGGTGCGTTTAGAGGCATCTTCCAATATTGAAAATGAGAAATTTAATTAAGAGAAAATTAAAAAGGAAAATTTGCCGTAGGATGGAATGCAATAGGGGATGGAGCATATAGGCCTTATGGCCAATATCCTGTGGCATATGTGGAAAGCAAAAAATGAAAGAGTGTTCAAGGAAGAAGAAGAGAAACAATTGTTGCAAGTGATACAAAAGGCAATGCAAGAATGGATGGAACACTTGACAACTGTGGAAGGGAATAGGAGTTTGAGCATTTTAGAGACTGCTGGAGTTTCAGACGAGCCAGGACTAAACATCAAGTAGGAGGAAGTACATCAATGCGGAATAGCTATAGCTAACAGGAAAAGAAGGGCAGGAGGTAGGGATTGGAGTGATTGCAACTGATATCACTAGCCAAGAGAAAGTTGTATGGGCCATGAGAGAAAGGAGTGCTAGACATTGCCTACTGGATTATGCAGAAGCATTGAAACTAGCAATGGCGAGAGCAAGAGCACGACATTTGTCACATATAAGGGTCGGAATCATGGACCAACAATTGCTAAGACAACTAAACTCAGGAAGAGTCAAAGATATCAGATTGTTTGCTCAGGTGGAGGAGATCAATAGCCTAAGTTCAATGTTTATGCACCGCTCATTTTATCTGCTCCAAGATGAACTGAATAGATAGAAGTAGACAGATTAGTTCACATGCTGTATGCATTCCATGGATGAGAAACACGCTGGTTTCATTAGTGTCTTTGTACAGGATGTATAGCGTAGTTGGGCCTTTGCCCATATTTTTGTAATGTTACTTTGGCTAATCAATATACAATCTCCTAACGTTTTCAATCCAAAAAAAAAAAAAAGGAGTGCAGATAAAACACTATCATTGCCTAAGACTTCCTCCGTCCCATTATTATTATTATGTTTTCACTTTATTGATATTTCAAATAAGAGCCACCATTTAAAATTTAAGATATGCTTTCCAATCTTGCTATTTGAAAAAAAAATAACTTTTTAAAATTCCAATATACATCTATCCAGAGAATATTTTGAATTCAAAAGATACATATATATAAATTCACTAATATCACTTCATCTTGACATAATAATTACCAATGTTTTCATATAAAATTGAATTTCTGAAAACGACTCTAATATTGGGCCCAAAGGGAGTACAAAGTTTTGAGAATTAAATGAGGCTTAGCTTCCAACGGGTGCAAAAGCACTTGTTTGGTCCGATAGTAGCTCAGTCCTCTCCTCCGAATTCTTCTTGACTCATTTGAGCCCACCCCTTTCTCTTTAGTATAGAATCGAGTAAGATTAGAATAGAAAAGCTATTGTATAAGAGAGAGAGAGAATGAGGCTTAGCTTCCGTAAAAAAGGTAAATAGTAAAAGAGTGAAAAAAAATTAGAAAGTGTGATGGCTCAACAATGATCTGGTAAACCGGGCCTTGCAACAGCTGGAAAAAGGTGCCAGTGTTTGGGCTTGGCTAGAAAGGCAAAGCAAAGAAGCGACAGTATTTACAAGCCTTTCTCCCCGAGTCTCCAGTTGTCTTCCCTGCAAAAATCAACCGGGAAAAGCTTACAGAATGTACTTTTTTGCCCATCAGAACCGATCGGGAAGCAAAGCACTCTGATATTCGGAGACCGTTGAGGGGAAGTCTATAGCCACATATAGCCAAATGGGACCAAAAATTTGTCAAGTGTGCGACGATGCACAATCAAAATACAAGTGCCCAAGGTGTCTGGTTCCCTACTGTTCTTTGGTCTGTTTCAAGAAGCACAAAGAAATTCCGTGTTCAAAGCCTGAATCTTCTTCTCAAGGTACGTCCCCTCGTGAGTGCAATTTTAACTCCATGTTTCTCCCGACCTCATTTGTAACTTAATGTTACCGTCATGATTGTACAGCACTAGGTTAACTGCCACGGCTACTAGCATTTGTAAACCCCAAAATCACAACTTTATGCTTCTTGCTAAAAATTACTCTTGGTAGACGTCATCTATGCTGTTTTGTGATTTGGGCTCTTTGTAGTTATCTTGTTATCAAGTATCTGGTTATAGCAGCTGGGAACACTTCTTCTTTTTTAATTTCCCCTTTCCAACCAGGTAGATTTATTCTCAGACATTCGTTGAATTCTCTAGCATTACATCTACAGCTGCGAGCATGCCAAGAATTTAGGCGCTTTCGGCTGAAGTTTTTTTTTTTTGAAGCAGTTCTTCCAGAATTGCACAAAGATTTATTTTTTTCTTCAAACTATTTGATGCATCTGTAAATCCTTGTCTTGGTTGCTGTCTACAGGATATTAAATACTTTGTATTCAGTGTTAACTCTGTATTTCTGCTAATGTGTTGCGGCGCTATTTGATCTGTATTGGTTTTTAGAGAATTAAGACATGCAACTGAAAGTTGGTCTCTTCGGCCATATATTTGTGTACTCTGACGGAAGGGTACTTCCAATTTTGTTATAACTTGTCTTATCCTAGTCAGTTTGACTCTGTTTCTGGTCGGATGTACACTTTAGTTGCTGAGAACGCTGAGGGATAGTCTGCTAATGTTGTGCATCTCCTTTCTATCAGCTCCCAAACGAGCTGTGCATCTTGGGAAACCCTATTATGTTCATGACCCAAGTGAATCGCTGCAACAGGTTCAACTGGAGTCCATAGGTATAATCTTTTATGTATTTTCAATAATTGCTTTGCTAATATCTGACTTCTAAGGCAACTGCTTGGTGTTAAAGCTAAAATGCCTAGCATTGATATCACAATATTTGGACCATCTCCTCCACTCCACTAGCCTCCAAACCCCCAACAGAGAGAGAGAGAGAGGCGCCCGCCGGAGGGGGGGGGCTGTTTACTAGAACAGCAAGTAGGTGGAAGGGTTCCTGACTGGAATCTCTTTACTTTTAACTCGTAATAACCTATATATGTATATGTGGTATTACTCATTCGTTCACCTTAATTGCACTTAATCAGTATAAAGTTTACAGATTAACCACCACCTAGAATAACAGTTAATCATGATTTCTCAAATAGCCTGTATGTACGGGCTCCATTTCCTATCTGCAACTTGAGTAGAAGGAAAGAAGATTGCATCTAGAAAGAAATAATTAGAGATTTGAAATTACTTTAGAAGCCTAAGGGGTAACATATTCAATTGTTTGTTAGTAAGCTTATTGCATTTGTTGATGGAACCACATCCCAAAATCACAATTTAATGGGCTAAAGGCATTATGCAACTTGATGGAATCGCAATCAGTAAGTTGTTTGCTTGTTGAGGTTTTGCACGCTGGTGTCATGTTTGCTTTAAAATACTCAACATTTACATTCATTAACTGATAATTGTGAAGCTGATCAGGAAAAAGACATTCAAAAGAAAAAATATTTTTTTTCTGTAAAATGAACTTCTTACTACTTAATAATGAATCTAATTTTAGGACAGTCAGCTGAACACTTCTCAGGCATGGGTGCGAGTACCTTGTACTGATTCTGTCTTGGAAGATAGGATCTTGCCTTAATAGATTCTTTGTGTTTTTGGTGCAATTTTTCTGAATTTGAACACAGCTTGTTCGAGTGAAATTCGTGATATATTGAAGGATAAAGAGCTTCAAAAGCTGATACTCAATGTAGACGGTTCTGCAGAGGCTGAAAAAGTAAGTTGTTACTATCTGGAGTAAATTTCTGTCGGAATGAAATATCTTTAAGAGTCTTCTCAAGAATATGCTAATTGTTGGAATGTTGCACGCAAATGACTTTCACTTGTCATGTTTCTTTCTTTAAGGAGCTAGGCAAAGCAATGGAAGTGGATGCATTCCGCATTTTTACTGAGAAGGTATCAATTTTACGTTGACAGGAACTCTCTATTGGTTTGGTTTTGTTAAATAAGTGTGTGTTATAATTGAGATATCCAAGCTGATTGCTGAATTTGGTTGGATCATGTTTTTCTTTTGATTACAGATATTGTCTATAATTGGTCCTAAAGTCTAAGCACTGAGCCACAAGCAACAAAGTGTTTGCTCTTTCAATTGAAACGGTGGTAAACCTGCACTTGCATTCATGGCAGTGCCATAACAATTATTTTCTGATGATACATATAGTCTAGTAAATTTTGTATTGGATGCACTTACTACCTATGTCCCTCGTTTGACAGATGTGTGTACAAAAAACTCGCACGTATCGAAGGCTGATCTGTAAATGCCATTTTTGAACTCAACGACGGCCATTATTTGTATTGCATGCTAAAATCTTGACTTCTGTATTTTAGCCAATTCTGTAGATGTCATCTGTGAACTCATTCAACGGCCATAAATCGTGCTTGCCCATATAGTTTTCGCATTTGTATCCAATTTTACAGGGAGGAGGTGCACTTGTTAATCTGCTTCGGCTTCTGTGTTTCAGAGAATGAGAGATGCTTCCATTTAGTCCTTTTTTTCCTGAATCGGGAAACAGAACCATGCAGTTTTTCTGACCTGCGCCGTGCTGCATGAGAATCAACATCGTAGGTAGTAGTAGTACCTATATCAAATGTTAACAGTTTCTTCGACTAGTAAGCGCCTGAATGGCTTGATTGACGTTCCGGAATGACAGTAGTAGTGTTCATGGTGGTCTGGGGGTACCGACGAGTTACCTTCGATTTTTTCCCGCCCCAGACGTACAAATAATTACCACATAGCTTATGATCCTTGCAAGGGGTTAAATTCCACCTTGGGCGCACAAATAATTAACGCATAAAACCTAAACTTTAGGGAAGATTCTAAACTTTACAAGGTGTAGGCGTAAATTGCAAGGAAGGAATCGGAAGGCAATCAAGAAATTTTATCACGACATGGATGATTTCTCTGCCAATTCAGCCGAGTCTTGGGACTACTTTTCCAATCGTTCGAGCTTTGTCTTTTGTCAACTCCAATACTAGACTTTTCGTTGGTTAATTAAACCTAGTCCCAAATTGAACTCTAAAAGCCGGCGATCATTCGAGCTTTGTCAGTCGCCCCATCCAAGTAGTGAAGGTCACCATAGCAGGTGATTCTCTGTTGCAAGTAGTTTTTTTTTTTTGCATGCAATATCTTTTCTTTCTTTCATTATCACTTTTTATTAAACCACTTCCATTCGTGTTTAATTACGTGTGAAATCTGGCAGCGGTATTAGAACAATTCTTCGCAGAAGCAAAAACATGTTGGTATTTATTAGGAACAAGTGACAGCTCTATATAGCCGTCTACGGGTGCTTTTGATTAAGTCTAAACGAAACTCCACAGAGTATATAACTACTATTTACTCAGCTACACAACTCCGTCATCCACCTGAAAATGAGCTCCGGAAGGGAAATAAATCATCCAGAACAAAACAGCTATGAAGATAGGCGATGAGCATGGATGTTCAAGGGAACAAGAGCGGGAGGCAACTAGAATTTATTCTCTCTCTTGCCATGGGTGGGAGCCTCAAACAACCTGGCGACCCAAAAAAAATTGAATTAGAAATTCCAGCTGATGCATCAAGATTTGTCACCCACATACAAACCCAATATTCCGCTGTGTGAAATGTGATTATCTATGGGTGTCCCTTTCTTGCTGTGGGATCACTCAATTTGCTAAAACTCAACCTTGAAGCATACCAGAAGCGAACATACATGTTAGCGGTAAGATATATAAAAGCAAAGTTGATTATGTGTTGATAATTACATTTTAGTAAATACTACAGCTCTCAAATCACATGGTGAGGCCGGCTTACAATCGAGCTCAACTGGGTCTCCTTTCCTCCATTAGGCTACAAAAATTTAGTTCTTGGACGGCTTACCCATCAATCCACCCCCGACTAACCTGCAGATCAACAAAATGCTCATCAATGAATCCTATTTTTAGAACCTTCAACATAATTTTGCTTAAGGTTCGAAGACCTTTCCTTTCCTTCCCAACATACTTAAGATAATACAGTACCATTAGCACAGCTAATATTTGGATGGATGTCTCTTTTATTGCGAAACTTGATTGGCATTGAAATACTTAGTGAGAAACCACCCAACAACATTTAAGTAACTGTCCTCATTTAATATGTGTGTGTGTGTCAATCAAAAAATCAGCCTACCAGATTGATGATTATCAAGATTCCCAACTTCTCTGCTACTATTCGGCTTGCTGGGCTGTACTACCACTTGATTCTGGAAAAAAATGAGAAAGGAATGCTTCAATACAACAGAGAGGCAGCACATACAAGCAGACTGCTTCATATAAGATGGTAAAGAATCCACGATGTATGACAAGGTGGAATATAGCATTATGAAAACATGCATATTGGTGAAAGTATTTCAGTAACTAACAATGTTGGTATAAAGACACAAATAAAGAAAGTGAAGTCATGATGGAATTGATATTGGAAGTTTTCATTACAGATGGCTGATTGACATAATACACAGCGCTCTCATATAAATATCACTTGCTGTGGTAATGGTATTTGTGCTTGGTGGAGACCAATGAACTGCTGATAGGGATCAGCAAAATTTGGAACTCGTGGCTGATTTGGATTAGGCGTCACTAGTGAGTTCAGCATTGGATCCAGCTGATTGGAAGCTTGGATTCTGGAAGAGTCAGGAATGGAACCGGTTGCATATGAAATGCTGGCATGGGAAATCTTGGCCCCATGTTTGCTGCTACAGCCGGGCTTGGCATTCCCGAACCGGTATAAAAGATGGATATGGTCACTGGACGGTTCATACCAAATCCATGCCCATGCCCATGCCCATGCCCATGCCCATACCATTGCTGGCATGTACTGCTGTACACTGGATACATCATCGGGAGCATGCACATCCATTGACAATAACTACAGTAACAAGTGAAAATTGCATCAAGGATGACTTGCTTCAGATTATTGGTTTCATAAAAAAGAAATTTCATATGCTAAATTCATATTCAAGCACCAAAGGATGCAAGAAACTAACTGCACTACACTAAGTAGCGCAGCAATAAAGAGAATGCAATGACATCCAAATTAATTTCCACCTGTACTTTTTGTGGCTCTATGCCTGGAAAAGCGAATTGCAGTGGCTGTTAATGAATTGCATGGATTTTGCTTCGCCGGTCAGTTTTTAGATTAGCCTGGGGTTATCTTCCATCAGTTGTGGAGATATGGAAATATGATGCTGTATCAGAGGGGCAGTTTCTACAGTCCTACACTTTGCAAACTGCCTATCAAAGGGATAATATATGTGACCCATTCTTGGAAAGGTATTAGGAAGATTCGGACAAACTGGAGACTTAACACCTGTATGCGGCAAAATCTCATGAGATTTATTCTAAGTTTTGGAAGTAAGGGCTTATAGCTTGATACTTAGCTACTTTGTTCAATTTTTATTATGGGATTCTATTCCTCTATGCGTTACAGTGCATTTAAAACAAAGTTAAATTATTGCCTAAAAACGAAGATTAAGTCCATCACTTCTATTTCTCGGCCAATATATTGTCCTATAATTAATGCATGAATTAGTCAATCAATAAAGAAGCATCACTTCATGTAAGGATGGCATCAGCTGGTGCAATTTCAAATTCATACCATTTTAAATTTTTTCCCACCAAGAAGGATGCTTTCTCACACCAAACATTTGAAGATGAATGTGTGTGAAGACATGTTTATGCCCTTTTGCTATATGTAAACATAGTCTCCAAAAAGCTAAACCAATACAGGAAACATTTTTCAAGAATAACTTCAGTAGATTATGAATCCAAGGTCAATTTACTACTGGTTAAGAAAGAAGAAAAGAAAAAAAAAAAAAAAAACAGTTACGAGCAGTCTATAGTTCAGGACAGAGAAAAACAAATCCAGAAGATGGTGAAGGAAAAAACTATTCAGTTCTGTGGCAATGTTTAAACAAATTTGTTCCAAAAGCTAAAAATAGCCATCAAAGTATAAATAAAGTACATTGGTGGCAACACCAGACTATAACATTCTGCTATTAGAATCTGGATCTCTAGAAGTCTTAGAATAGATGTACAATAGGAGGGGTAAAAAAGGATACTAGGACTACCATTTGCTTCAATCAAGGAAAGGAGAGCCTTTAGACGAGCAACCGAAGCGATCTTTAAGTAAAAGTATCTAATTCAGGATGTTGGAGAGAAATACTTGCTAGTATTGTTCTTAAAGTCATAATGGTAGAAAAAGAGGGTACCTGCACTTGCAGTTGTAGCGATTTCAAGTACTCAATCGCTCATCCAGCATTGAAGCCTTGTCTGACTGCAACTTGCCAGAAAAGGAAAGAGTTATGTCTGAGTGGAAAATAGCACGAGTGGCGTTTAGTACTGGTACCAATAGTCAAGAGCAAGGTGTAGACTCTAAAAGACCTTGTTGCAACGAGGTATGACTTGCAAGCCCTCATCTTTTCATTTATCCTGTCTCGACGCCTTGCAGAAATTTGTTTGCACAACGTGTTGTTAAAGAGGAAGGAACCACAAAACCCCTACAGCCATTAAGAAAATGAGCACGTACTCTTTCTGAGAGATTGTGAACCTCTGCAGCACGGGATCTCTTTGTAGATGTTGATCCACGGGCTTGCCTTTTTGCATCAGCTGACTCAAACTCGATATCCTGTGTTTTTTGTAGAGACAGATCTATTGTCGTTAAATGTAGGGAAAATTAAAAAAAAAAAAAAAAAAAGTTCATTCGACTCGACGTGCCAAATCATCACAATATAATTGACTCGCTTCATAAAGAGTAGTGCTACTGCTACCGTCTTGAGATTTAAACATCTACTGTACATAATAAGGCTTCCAACTTGGCCGACAAAAAATAATTAGGACATCTCCGATCACTTTACAAATAGTCTAATAATTATGACATGAAAAGTACAGCATATTTTTACACGCAGGAATAAGTAGACAATCCCATTTCGCGAAATTGGGGAAAAAAAAACACGAATCGTGGACAATGACGTAAACATCATCAGTGAAACACACAGAAATGAAAAGAGACAACAAGACGCGGCAGTGACGATAGTAGTATATGGTTTTTGAAAAATGAAAATTCAAGAACCGTTTTTTTATCCAGATCTGAAAATACGAGGGTGACTGCGAAACCCCCTGGTCCTGGTGCGGGTGGTGTGGCTTGGCAAATGCACAGAAAAAGTGCAAAGTCCGTGATTTCTTCCGCCCTCTGAAAATGAAAAACTCTCAACAGTCTTCCAACCCTCTCTTCCCCTGCTGGCTGCTCCACTATTTCACTAATCGCCACCAGTTCCCTCGCCCTATCATCACTCAGCCGTACGCTGATTATACAATTTGTGGCGTTGAGCGTGCACACGTGGCATGTTGGACACCGCGCTTGTTCTCCACGTGCCACGTGCACGGCCAAGCCATGACGTGGCAACCAGACTTTGGCAAATATTTTTAGATCCCACCCAGCCCCAGAAAAAGAGGGAGAACCATAAATACATATATATACTCGGCGCTTTTATTTAGATTAGATATTTTAGTACAGGGGTGGGTTGCTGCTCTCGCGCTAGCCGACGTAAAACATATGAAAACAAACCAAAAAACATAAAAACCCTCTCCTCCGTGTTTTATATCTGCTACTCGTACTAAAGAATTGGACTTATTCGGTGGTGAAAAGGTGAAAAATAAAATAAAACTAAAATAATAATTTGGCGGTTAATTTGAAAAAAAAAAAAGAAAGGGGGTCAAAGTGAAAAAAATTATTCTCACCTCACTAGGACAATCCGTCTCTCCGTTTCTCTTCCTTTACGCTTCCGGTCCTCCACACGGACGGGCTCGGTTTATGATTGAAGTCGGCGGCCGGTGATGCGGCTCCGCGGTTGCACTGACGCTACCCCGGAGGCCCGGGGGACGACGTGACGGTGAGTTCACAGGCCGTGGTCGCCAAGTCCCTAGCTGCAGCGGAGGTAGCCGCAGCTGCAGTGGAGCTCACGGCTCCGCATCTTACATCCCCTTCAGGAAACCCTCGATTCCGGCACCGTTGTTTGCGTCTCATTGGAGTCCACCACCGTCAATTCCCTCGTGTATCCGGCTCGTTCCTGGATTTGGGCAGTCTGGAGAAGTGCATGAAGTTTTGAAGCCTAGGAGCAGCTGCCTCTATTGGGTAGGTGCCTTTCGAAGGAGGAGGTACGGGTCGAGGAGGAATAACGGCTGGCGGCGGGCGGATCTCCCGATAGTTGTGCGGAGTTCTTGGGAGGAACGGAGGGAGTTGGCGTCATGGTGGTGGTGGTGGAAGCTGAAGGCGGCGGAGGATAGAGGAGATCGGAGTAGAGGTCGCGGTCGAAGGAGGAGTCGTCGAGAGGATAGTGAAGCCAAGAGGCCATCTCGTCTTCTTGCATGAAGAGCTGCTGCGGCGGCGGCGCCGCATAGGTTGTCATTTTCTAGTATGGATGGGATCTCTCTAGAAGCACCGGATTGGTGTAGTTGATCAGGCTCTCCGCCCCGGTTGGGAGATTTCTTGAATGATCTTTGATTCTGGCTTTGGAAGACCACCTGCCCGTTCTGCCATAGCAGCTCCATGATCTCTTCTTCACCTCTATTTATAATTGACATGACGTCCATAATTTAAAATAAAACCGGAGAAAAAAAATAAAAAACCAAAACTTCAATTGAAGCTCTTGGTCTTGGAGTAGACACAAGCAAAAGCATAAAAATAAAGAAATTGGAGTTTTGGGAAGAAAACTCAAATCTTAATTACATTGCTGGCTTCTTGGGTCTGGCAGTGGTACTGGCATTAATTGAAGAAGAAGTAGGGATTCCATAATCGTCATCCATTTCAAAATCCGGAACGCAATGATTCATGATTGATTAATCCCTCCCTCCCTGTAGCTCTAGCTCTAGCTAGGCTGCGACCTACTCTAGAATCCCTAGTAGTAGCATATACTACTGCTATTGCTGCATCAGAGGCTACTCTTCACCTGTCTCCACATATATCATCATCATCAAGAAGCCGCTGCACATATATGATATATACTCCCTGTAATTAAGCTGGAGGAGAGTAGAAGCTTGATAAGTCGGTGAGACAACAGTTCGTCTGGTTTGCTTTGCAAGTCTTTTTATTTTAATTTTTCCCCTCTAGGATGTGGTACAAGTTAGAAGAGGGAAAAAGGGGTCGGGGTTTTCCCCGGGGGGGGGGGGTGGGGGTGTGTCTTATAGAAACAGCTAGCAGCAGATAGGATGAGGGATGGGGGAGGTGGGAGGAGAATGATTGATTACAATAATATTTGCTTGTATCAGGACCAGTTAATACTACTACTAATATGATCCAGCTTTAGTGTTATCGATCTAGGAGTATATATTTTGGTTTTGGGTGGGGGTCGAAGATAAGGTGCAGAGAGCACAAGAGGGAGGAGCTTCTCTCTGTCCGTCTCCGTTTCTTTTCTTCTATAGTTCTATTTTTGTGTGTTTGTCCTACTGATTGACTGCTCTCTCTCTCTCTCTCTTTTCTTCCGAATAATGCGAAGATAAAGGACGCGACCTGATTTTGACGGTTTTTGTATCGCATACTGTGTCAAGTGTGTCACTACTCACTACTGGCTCGCATTTCGCCTTTTTCCACCATCACCACCACCACCACCACCACCATTTGGCATTTGATTTCCTCCTTGAGCTCCAAACGAAGTTATAAATTAAAAAAAAAAAAAAAAAAAAACCCTCAGCTTGTTAGTGTAGCCCCTGAGATCAAGTCTCAAAACCGAAATTGAGGGTTGAAACTCAAGTGCCGTAAAATATTAAAAAAAAAAAAGATGATACTGTAGCCTGGGACCTCGTCAATGGATGGATTCTAGGATAATAATTGAGCCCATTAATGGATTGTGGAAATCCGGATTATGTACGCTAGCTAGTATCTATTAAGTCGCCATCCCACCTTTTGAAGGGCTTGTGTAGTATATGTACTGCGTACAATTTCAACGAGGGCTTGTGTTGTATATGTACCATACACAATTACAACTACAAGCCCTGCAAAAGGTGGGATCCAAAAAAGTAATATAACAACCGTTTTTTGTAATTTAATGTATGTGAAATACAAAAAAAAAAAAAAAATTTGATTAAAAATATATTTGCAACGTAAGTAAACATTTTTTCTGTGTTTTGTTTTGACAAATGAAGTTGGACCAGCGACAGAACTTACTTATCCTGACACATTTGGTTCAAGATGCGGGAATCTCATTTTGTTAGCCCCAACAAGAAGCATGAACTACTTAAGATAGTGCGCTTTTGGTACTTCAACCCAAAAAAAGGACTTTTTGCATGGGGGGAGAGATTCTATTGTTTAATGGCTTGACCATTCTCCTTGCGAATGAATGATGCATTGTTTAATGTAGAATCCGACAATTAACGATAAACCGTCTCCGTAACTAAAGTTAGTTGGCGACTGCATCCACAATTTATTATTTGATGATGATGATGATGAAGAGACTCATCTTCCTAAGGAATCATACGCGTGGATAGACGGCCGTGGGATTTTCAGCCCTTTTTTTTTTTAAGATTTGCGAAATGGTTTTCCAACCGCGTGTGTTTGGATATGAGATTGTTTAAAGTATTATTTGGAATAATTACTATAACATTTTTTGTGATATGATGTATGTGAGATAAAAAGATAATTGAAAAGATAAAAAGATGTGTTGAAAATTATATTCATAATGTAAGTAAATAAATTTTGACCATTATTTGGCTATCCAAACACACTCGACGATAATAATATAATGTGTAAGGCGGCCAGCATCTGTCAACTTCATTTGGTAGTGGTATCAAAGGAATTTGTGCTTCCATTTCAGCCCCAAAAAAAATTTGTTTTTTTTTTGAAAAAAGAAAGAAAGAATAAGAGGAGGAGAAGAAGAAGACGCATTGGAGGTAGGGATGTACACGAGCCATTTGCGAGTAGCTCGATCAATAGCTTGACTTGAACTCGATTTGACCGAGTTCGAGTTGAGTCTCGAGCTACTCGATTGTTATTCGAATCGAGTTTCGAACTAATATTTTGAGACTCGTGGCTTATCGAGCTACTCGTCGAACGGGAATGTATTTAAATTATATATATATATATATTATAATTATAAAATGACCGTTATGGATATAATTTATATTGAATTTACAATATACTATTCTTTATAATAAAATTCCATAAGAGCAGAAGTATACATTTTTCGACTCGAGTCAATAAGCTTGATTAGACTCGACTTGATAAGACTTGCCTAAAGGTCGAGTCTCAAGCTTCAAGGGAGTTCCTCGAGTCTTGACAGACTCGAGTATCGATTTTTTGAATTCGATCGAACTCGAGACTAGGTACATATGAGTCGAGTCGAACTCGAGTATAGCGATTCTCGGTTACATCCCTAATTGGAGGGCATCCGTGGATGATGAGGCAGAAGTATAAAAAACGTGGTCCGAACCGAAGCATCTAAGCCAAACAGCGATGGATAAGATATGATTGATCATTGAAGCTTAAGCGTGGTAAGCTGGAATGCGGTCAAGAGTAACCAAGTACAGGTATTTCCTAGTAATACTTTACTGGAATGAGAGTGACGCGTTGGAGGCTTTAAGTAGGTGCCCATTTTTTGAGTTGAGATAATGACAGAGTGATAAATTGTCACGCTCGAGGCTGTTTTCTCTCCAAGGTTCCCAATTAAACTGAGCACCAATCATTTTGTGATGAGGTTTTATGATGAGGTTTTGCGTGGACGTTCCTCCCCATTATATATATATATATATATATATAGAAGGTATATATATATATAGAAGGCTTTGTGTGGACTTTGCTGTATTTTTCTTCTTTTCGGGCAAGTTGGATGCGAAACTCGTTACAAGTAGGAAGGAGGCCCTTGTTTATTTGATCCACTTGCATGCGTTATCCTGACTTTCGCACGTCCCGGCCGCCCACAAAAGCGCCCCATTTTCAATGACGTCATCTATCCTATGTAAGTTCGGACAAAGTTTTATGTCGGTAAGCAGCCATTACTCCCCAGCAGTAGTTGGTTCAGATTAATTAACAGAAAAGTCAGCTACACGTAGACACAAGAGAATAATGCTGCTGACTGAAATTCACTAAACATATTAAGCGAAATCAAGCGAAACACCACTTTTTATACATCCACCCAGTTGAAAAAAAAAATCAATTATTGAGCAAGATGCTTGGTAGTTTTTTCGATTGGCATAATTTTTTTTAAAAATTTACTGGTCACCCCCCAAATTTTTTTATATACGTGAGCAAATTTTTTTGAAGGACATCCCCTTGTCCACGTGATTGATTTGATATGACGCAACAATAATTTTCAACTAATTGTACAATCTAAAGGACGCTTATAATTGCATAAAATAACCTTGTAAATTAAATTTACATGTCTTGAATTCAAATCTCATTTTTCTCCCTATTTCTTAAATTCCACTCTTTTCCTATTTGCAAAAAACCAAAAAAAAAAAAAAAAAAACTTGATATGTTGAATGGAACTTGTTGTAATTACACAAATCTCAGAGGACTTCCATAGGATTCTACCAAAATTTGAACGAGGTCAATGTACCAATGCACTAATACAATGTACTAATGTCGTGTCATAGCATTTTTTTGATTTAGTTGGATTTGCATATTCACTAGCTCTTAATATATAATCCTTATTAAGCTCCCTCTCTCCCTTAGATTAGGATACAATATATAGTTGCTGACAAAAAAAAAAAAAAAAATTGCACTGATAAAAGATCACGGTACCTCCTCTATCCTTGAACTTGCCATATTTGTTTGTTGGATCAGGTAAAAAAAAAAAAAAAAGGGAAATCTGAAATGGGCTAGATTAGAAATATTGAACCCGGTCCACGTGGGGCAAGAATATGACGTCTTCATCAGAACAAAATAGAGGGAAAAGTGGCAGCGGCCGGGGAATGAAATCTGAAAACATAACCCAAATGAACAACTCGAAAAGCTGAAGCTGCAGGTGGAGAAGTACCCGCGGCCAGCCGGTCTTAAAAGCTCCTCCCACTCCTTCATCTGCTTTATGTTTAAATCATCAAAAACAAAATCTTTTTTTTTTTTTCCCGAATTGAAGATACTCCGCACTTCCTCAATCCTCATCCGGAAAAGAAATCGGCATCGTAGCGGAATTTTCTGTTCCTACGATTACTTGTGGGCTTGTAGCACAATCCTCCTGTATTCCTGTCCCAGTAGTTTGGTTGCTTGTATTTTCTAGACTGCCTCCGTCAACTTATGAAATAGATCCAAGGTGTTTACTGCTCTCGTACTAGACGACAAACAGATTTTTTTTTTTTTTTTTTTTTGTAAATAGGAAAAGGAAAAAATGCCACGTGCCTATAAGATCAAGTTACAGAGAATATTTAACCAAAAAAAAAATAAAAGAGAGAGAGAATAAAATATGAGAAAACTGAAGTATTGACTCGCTCAGAATAAAAGAGTGAGAGTAGCCACTCGCTCGGAAGCGATTGAGCAGCACCGGGCGAGTGGGAATGGAATGAATATGCATGCATCGGTACTGAGGCGTGCTATGTTGGCCCGTTAACCGACACTTAGGGCTCCATTCCGGCTTGGGCCCACTTATCCTTAATTCTCAAATCTGCTCCTCAGTTCTCGCCCCCACAATTTTGTGAACTCTACTTCCCCGTCATTCCCTTTCGCTCACTTAACTAACATCCATCCTCCAAGCTTCTGTACTTGACGGGAGTATCTAATCTGAACCGACCCTGGAATTTTTTTTTTATTTTTTATAAATCTAACGGAGGTTTCGTAATGTACTCGTTAAGATATATTTCAGGTATTATATTTTTAAAAAATAAATAAATACAAGAGAAGATTGATAAGATTAAATATGAAAAGTATATAAATGTACGGGAGGATAATAATTGTTAGTATGTAAAGAGATAAGGTAATTATGAAAACCTTGATCGACCTATCTGGCAGTTTGGATTGTCTGACGCGGTAACTTATATGTGAATATTAGATATTTTAACGAATATTCTCATGGTACCCGTTAGAAAAATTCAAAAAGAAAAAACTAAAAAGAATCCTTGAGTTTGAATAGGCAAAACAAGAAACTATTTTTCCCCCCACTATTATTGCATAATAATTACCTATTAGAAACTTTTTTTGAGTTGAAGTTGGATGACATTTAGGAGATAATAAAAGGTTAAGCACGTAAACCCCTTCCACGAAATAGATGCATGTTTTTCCATTTGTTTTTGGTAGAATGTGAGATGACAACTATTTACCGATTACTTCACAAACTGCGAAGCAATTGATGTACAAAAATGATAGTGAAGTGGAAAAAGATGGAAACCAGAACCATTTATAGAATTATATAGTCAGTACCATGTCACTGACAACAGAAAATAAAACGCACACTGTACTTGTTTATCATAAGAGAAGAATACGAATTTCCTTTCTTACTTTTTCTGCTCTGGGGAAATGCTTAGATCCGTGGGCCCCCGGCCTCTGATATCAATGTCAATTTACCCTTGACCCGCAACAAATTTGAAGGACCATCATCCCCTGAACATTTTTTAATTTTTACATTTCTCATCGAAGTTTGTGCCGCAA